CTTCAGGTTTCCAAGCCTTTAAATTCAGGACGAAAACATCGTTAACGGGATTGTCTCACCGATATATATAATTATACTTCTACTCAAGTGCTTTTATGGCATGACTTGGGTTGGGTAGTTCACTGAGTTTATGGATTAAATAAGTTAATCTAGTCATTAATTTAAATGGTGGTCAAAATAGTAAAGATTATTTGCATCCACACTGGTTCTGTAATTAATTCTGTGAGTTTCAGGTCATTTCCTCTTCTAAGGTTTGACGTGATGGTGCTCTGAGTGCGGATAGATCATGGATGCGTTACTATGTCCCGGACCAACTTGGGACTTTGCACAACAAAACCCATTTGTTGCTTTTATGCACCACCCTTCATCTCTGCTAAGATAGCCTATCAGTTGTTGACTACTCTCTAATTTAAGTGATGATCGGGTGTTATAATCGCCATAGAAAATGCATGACTGGCCATCTAATGTGTCATGATTATGTTGTGCCTAAGGATGCCAATGCTGTTGTTGTCACCATCAAGAACAAGTGTACCACAATCAGTTTATAGATTGTTGCTGCGTTGGATTCAACTGCATTATACTACCGATATTGCCGTGAAAAGAATTTCCACATTCTCAGATATCACAACTAGCATGAAAGAGTGGGTTAATGCGGTATGCTCAAGATGCTTAAGGTTGCTCCTGTTTTTGGACTTGGGTTCTTCAGGCGTCAGAGCCGCACGCTGAGAGTGAGTTGGAAGAGTGGGTTATTGCGGTGGTGAAGTTGGAGGTTCTTGAGAGAAGATGGATACAAAATTAGGTAAATTTGTAGTTGTTTTTGTTCAGATTTTTATGATTAACAAGTAGATAGATCTAAAAATCGATGTTGATAATCCAAGCTTTAGTTGAGTTTGGGTGGCTAGATTCTGACAAGTATGGTGGAATCTGGTGGTTAAGATTTCATGCTTAGTAAAGGGAAGGAGAAAGACAATTTTATTATTTTAATATAGCTTGGATTTTTTCGCTTTTTATTAAAATAAAACGGCAATTTTATAAATAATTCCAAAGTTTTTGTTGACAATTCTTTTCTCTTTTTTTTTGGGATATAAAGTGTTTTAACATTTATAAATTATGAGATATAAAATATAAATTTTTAAAATACAAAGAAAAAAAAGGTCCAATGTATTTTTTTCCATTTAATAAGAAAAGCTATGAGATAATTAAAAAATCATATATATATATATATATATATATATAGAAAAGACTTTTCAAGACTCTAGGTTAGTTATGGTTTAAAATATTTTAAAATAATATTTTTTATTTTTAAAAAATATTTTTAATATTAGTATATTAAAATAATTTGAAAATATAAAAATATAATTTTTAATTAAAATTTTTAAAAAACTATATTCCCAAATAAATTTTTATCGCTATAATTCATCCATCATAGGACTGTGAGGATGGGACTTCTCTTTATGTGATGGAGTTTATTTTTAAATACACTCATGAAAATCGTGACAAGTACAAGGCCAAGAAAAATAAAAATCCAGGCAATTAAAACTCATGTCAACACCTGAATTGTTATAAGTGGACGGTGGTATTTCATTTTTCTTAAGCAATCATAGTACAACTTGGAGGCCATTACTGCCTCCGGAGTGGAGGTTGATGTATCATTCAGTAAAGGTATGGCACTTTTTTTTCTTAGGCAATCATAATTCAAGTTGGAGACCATGTAGAGAGGTTGTTGTTTTCAATGTAGACCACACCTTCATCATGCATAATAGTCCCTCTCAACTCTAAAACCTTGTGGGGGGAAAAGGTTGTGGGAATTCAGGATATTTTTTCCATTTTGCCCTTGGAAAAAGCACTTCTATTGGTGCCTCAAAAACCAAGGTGTAAAATGGTTATTTTACAGGATATAAATGTCAATTTGTAATTGTTGGAGGGTGTAAGTGGTTTTTTATAAATTTCTTGGACTTGAAAACACTACATTGCCCTTGAATAATAATAATAAAAAAAGAAATGCGGGTTTAATGAGATTTTTCAATTTCTGCATGGTGTAATTACTCAATTAACCTTAGACTTCAATTTTTTAAACCTTTGCTTTAGGTTTTTTTTTTTTTTTTGCACTTTTTGTTTTGCTATTTTTTTTTTTAGATTAACGTGGGTGTCCGGACCAGTTTGCGCGCATCACGACTAATCCCACGGGCCCTGAAGTTAACGACCATGTAAGTCTCCAGTGGCCATCATATGAGTAACCAAGGACTCGAACCTGAGATCACAGAGAGAGCAAACCCCTTAATTCCAAGTCTTTACCACTTGGCTACCACCTAGATAATTATTTTTTTTTGTTATTATTAGATATTCTTGTGGGTATTTTTAGCTTTCCATATTTATTTTTTTATCTTGGATTTAAGAGGGGTTATTTTGATCATTCAATAGATAAAAAAAACACAAAAAACACAAAAATTACAAACACGTACAGTTCATATGCAGCCGCACAAGGTGCCTCGTCTATTTATTCAGCACCTCGTCATTGTCAAAAAATGCTGGCCAAGGTGTGTTTCGATTCCTCATTACAGAGCTAACCATGATACATAGCATGTGTGCGAGTTTGTTCATGCAAGTGTGGTCCTGATTTGGTTTTTTTTTTCTTCTCTTATTTCCTTGTTAAAATTAAAATGTGTAGAGGAATCTAGAAACGTTTTAATTTTAATTATGATATTAAACGAACAAAAAATTTCATTTTTTTAATAATTTTTTTTTAAAAAGAGTTAGATTAAATATTCTTTATTGGTAATATCCTAACATTATAAATAGGACTAATACTCATTTTTTTTTAAAAAAAAAAATCTTAAGTACAAAGAATAAAAGTCCTTTCTTTACTTAGACAATATTTTTTTCATTAAAGAAAAAATATAATTTGATTTTATTTTTTGTTGAAAATAATGGTGATTAAACCATTGTGTTCAAATTACACCTCTCATTTCAAAAAGAAAATTCTGTAAATATTGATTGATCTAGAAAAGATAACTTAAATGTTTAAAATTGTTTCATCTACTAAATTAAACAATAATCATGTTCCTTTTTTTTTTCTCTATCCTTTCGCTAATATTCCAAGCATTTAATTCAACATTTTTCTTAATAGTAAGTAAAGGCATTTAATTTGGTTATAAAATGAGGTTTCTCTATTGTAACGTTTTTTTAAACAAGATTTCATGTAATTTCATAATTTTTTAAAAGGTATTATTATAACTTATTCAATTTTTTTAATTAAATTTTTTAATCAATATCCATGATAAATATTACAAAAAAATAAAAATAAAATATATAACAATGGATTCCTTCGAGTCATTGGTACTTTGTCAAGAGATCATGGGTTAAGTTCTTCACAAGAAGTAAGAGGTGTTAAAGTAAATTTATTGTAAATATTATCGAATTAATTTTTTTCACTATAGATATTAAGTTTATTTATTTTTAATTAGTAATAACTAACAATTGTTATATATATTAATATATTAAATAATCATTTCAATTCAATAACTTTAATAATTTAAACTATTAGTTAAGATTTTTAATATATAATTTATATTATTCTCTAATACACCCTCTCAGATAAAAGCTTTTTAAGCTTGAAATTTACATAAATTTACCCTCTCAGATAAAAGTTTTTTAAGCTTGAAATTTACATAAATTTATATTATTTTATATTTAATTTTTATCAAATAAATAAAAATTATAAGATTTGAACCAATGACCACTTCATCATCAAAGTTTTAATATCATATTAAAAAACTATTTTATCCTAATAAATTAAATTTTAAATACAATTTATATTATTTTCAAATATAATATACATTAGCTTACCAAACAAAAAACAAGCAATAGGATCTCTCCGAAAAACCTAAAGTTATACAGTTTGTACCATATTTATTTATTTGTGTTAGCGAAGAATCCCTTATAATTCTGGTTATTATGATAACCATGGAAACAACAAACGAGGCTGCTGCTTCTTCTTCTTCTTCTTCTTCATTTTTTTTGGCTTCCATCGAGAGGTTGTCGATAGGAGGAGTAGCTTGATGCTGTTAAATGTATCATGACAAGACCACTTTTATTAACTAATCAAACTAAACACTCAGAGGATCAACTATCCAGACCAAAACTAAATAAAGAAATGAGTTCCGACACTTAAGTTGCCATAAGCTTTAATGTCTCTGTTCATTTAGCCTGTCCTTTACATAAAATACCAAAAAAGCTGTTAATGCCGCCCCCCAAAGAGATTAGTCGGGCACTTGACTGTTTCCTAGAGACAAGGATCTGAAACTAATCGGTGCATGTCCTGCTAACATGGCCTTGCTATCACTTAGCGAGCTGCCTTTTTTCCCATTTTTGGATAAAATTAACTCATCTCTATCTTCTTCTAGTATGAGAACACAATACATGAAAGTTTTGGGAGAATCTGAATCCCCACTAATCCTTATTCTTTGTGGATTAGCTTGCCCGCCGCAACACAACAACTTAGGCCATATGGCAATGGCAACAAGGTCAGTCTATGGTGAATACGGTAGCTAACTAGTGCTATCAAGGCTACTTTGCTGATGCTAGATGACAAGAAGCCAGGAAGATCAGCTGCCACTAACAATATAGCCCTCACAAGACACGTGGATAGAAAACCTCTTTTGAATTGTCTCTATTTAGTCAAAATTAACTTTTTCATGCCGAGCACAAAACCCACTTATTGCTGATTAATCTATATGTCTGCATTACATGTTCTTTAGACCATGGCATTAACACATAATTAAGCCTGCCTTGCAATTAAGAAATTCTTTCGTGTTATCATTTTTCTTGAGCTCAAACCCAATTTGTCTATATACCCCCCACAATATTAATATGTAAGAGTGGCTGAAATTGATTGAAACTATATAATATGGCAATGAGCAAATCAAATCCATCACGGCGCCGAAATTACTCCACTCCAGTTTCTATAAATACCTCTAAGAAATCCCACTTCTCTCTTCACAGACTACAACCACACAACATCTTCTATCTCACAATTTGTCTCTCATATCCCCATAATTTACACGTTCTTTTTATTGATATACATCAATCAAATTAATTAGCGTCACCTCCACCCACTACGAACACCAGCAGGACTAACACTAGAAATAAAATTCCCATCTTTTTACCTCTCTCATCCTCTCCTTACCCAAAAAAGAAAAAAAGAAAACGATGAACTGCTTGCAGAGTTGGCCAGAACCTGTGGTTCGAGTCCAATCTTTAGCCGCAAGTGGTATCCAGGCAATCCCAGAGCGTTATGTTAAGCCACCTTCTCACAGACCGTTATCAAACAGTGATTTCTTACTACCTCAGGAGGTCAACATTCCTCTTATTGATTTCCAAAACGTTTTCTCTAACGACCAACGCCTCCGCGAAGAGGCCCTCCGTTGTATCTACAGAGCCTGTAGTGAATGGGGCTTCTTTCAAGTAGTGAACCATGGTGTGAGCCACGAACTGATGAAGGGGGTTCGTGAGATTTGGCGCGAGTTCTTTAACCTGCCAGTAGAAGTGAAGCAAGAGTATGCTAACAGTCCTGCTACATATGAGGGGTATGGTAGCCGGTTGGGCGTGGAGAAAGGAGCAAGTCTTGATTGGAGTGATTATTTCTTCCTTCATTACATGCCTGTTTCTCTCAGAAACCAAAACAAGTGGCCTGCAACCCCAGCTGCTTGCAGGTATGCATGCATCTTCAATTCTCTTAGCAGCCCTATGTTATAGTATTCCTTCGTATCTTTGACTGCTTCTCCTTTGTCTGTTATACTATATACGAGTACTTTTCTTCCATTTAATTAACATTGAACTTTCTTATTTTCTTCAAATGGCCATTGGAAATTGTCTTTCTTGCTAATTTCCTACTGATTAGTCGTCTACCAAAGTTGGCACGGTAAAATGTATCCAATTAGTTGCAGAACTGTAGAAGAAAAGGAGGTTTGGCAGCTGGATCTTTATCATAGAATTGCTTTACAAGTACAGCCAATAGTACCATCTTTTACACGAGGATACAATATGATGAATATATAATTACCTAGTTGACCGTCCAAGAATATATGTTGGATGGGCGCCTTTATTTTATAGAATTTGGTTATATGTTTGAGGCAATTTTACCTACAGATTCCAGCTGATAATTCCCTTTTCATTGCTGGTGGGTAAAGGCTCTCTATTGAAAAAAGAAGAAAAAGGAAAGGCATGAAAAGGGCAAGGGAGAGATGGAGTTTGATTAATCTCTGATACTGCAAATATTTCAGGAAGTCTTGCAGAAAAGATAAATCACAGATGTGATGGTTCTAATTAATTTAACAGCGTAGATTAACTATCTTACAACCTTTATTGCAGGGAATTGGTAGCTGAGTACGGCCGCGAGGTGGTTAAACTTGGTGGAAAGCTGATGAAGGCATTCTCTATGAACCTTGGCCTGGAAGAGGACTTCCTCCTTGATGCTTTCGGCGGAGAGGAAAATGTTGGTGCATGTTTAAGGGTGAATTACTATCCAAGGTGTCCACAGCCAGACCTCACACTAGGCCTCTCGCCGCACTCCGACCCTGGTGGAATGACCATTCTCCTGCCTGATGAAAACGTGGCTGGACTGCAAGTCCGCAGAAATGACAGTTGGGTCACCGTTAAGCCAGCACCAAACGCCTTTATTATAAACATAGGGGATCAAATCCAGGTACCTCTAATTAAGATAGCTCTTTTCCATTTTGGATATATATTGCTTAGTTAACTTCACTTTATTTTCATATTGGTACTGATAAAAAAAATATTGATTTGTACACAGGTACTGAGCAATGGCATCTACCAGAGCGTGGAGCACAGGGTGATTGTAAATTCTAATAAAGATAGAGTGTCTCTTGCCTTCTTCTATAACCCCAAGAGTGACTTGCTCATTGAACCGTCCAAGGAACTCGTCACCGTCGACCGGCCGGCCCTCTACCCACCGATGACATTCGATGAATACAGACTTTACATTAGGACAAAGGGTCCCTGCGGCAAGAAACAAGTTGAATCCCTAAAATCTCCTAGACCATGTAATGAATGTTGAATTGATGACAGTGTCCGACGACTTTGGTCCCAATTACTTCATTCGCAAGTTGCAGGAAACAAAAAGACCAGGGCAATTTGAATCACATGGTGCTGCATTTTACCACTTACTTTTCCTTCCAAGTTGCCTACGTCTGTTTAGGATAATTAAAATCTCAATCACATATAGTGGAGTTCCTTTTCTATGCTGTACAAGAAGTTGGAATTACGTTATTGTCTATTTGTCAGTAACAATTCAAGAAACGAAAACCCATTGTTTGAGTGACGATGGAACCCTTCTCTTGTTGGCATGTGAAGTCTAAACTCTTTCGATGGTCACTTCACGAAACAAAGTGAATCATTCGATAACGTTATCCTCGCCAAAGTGACCTTGAAAAAAAATAAAAATAAAAATAACACAGATACAAATAGGCTCAAGATCTTTTAAAAATGGAGAGGATATAATTTTACCAGAGTAATTACCAATACTTTCTCCATTCTTACCACTTATTGTTCACTATTGTACAACAAACTTTACACCCCTTTTGGTTACTTCCTCAGTGTCATTGAAACTCCCATTTTACACTTCACATCTTTTTTTCTATCCTTTAATTTCATTAAGGACTATTTCATGATATATTTAAAAATGATTTTTAGAATAATTTTTAATTAAAAAATATTAAATTGATTTTTTGTAAATAATTTTAATGTCTTTCAATCTAAACATGTTTTGCCAAAAACATATATTATCAAACACACACGAAAATGAAATGATTGAAGACATGAACTCACTCCTGAGTCCTTTTCTCAGCTGGACGTGGTTGTTAGAAAAAGGGGCACAAATCACATATTATGGACTGCCATCAATGGCTTTCGTTTTGATTAGTATTTTACTATATAGTTGACTCACATTTCACGTGGATGATGGATTGGAAAAAAATTAAATGAGAAAAAATAAAAATGAAGGGACTGTTAATGTTTTTTCCAGTATCAAGAAAGAAATTAATTGTGAGCTGTGTGTTTAATAAAATAAAAATAGTGAGTCATATACATTACAAAATATTAAAAAAAGTGTTAACTTTTACAAAATATTAAAAAAGTGTTAACTTTAACTAAAGCGAAAATGAAATTTTTAACAATGTTTTTACACTTCTGTTGATGTGAAAGTTACATCTTGATTTATCTTTTTATCTTGTTTGATTTTAAAATTAAATTTAATAAAGGTTGTTTTAAAGTGACCTGATTAATTTGAAAAATACAAATACAACTTGGTTAAAATCTAGTTTAATTTTAAAAAATTTAAGATGATGTTATTTAATTTTTTTAAAATATTGAATTGCTAATATCTTGAATTAAATCTATAATCGAAATCATTAATCTAATTAAATTTGATAACTTTATTTTATAGAATTTATTTTTTATTAAGCTATGCAATAATAAAAATAAAGATGTACAGAAAAGAGAAGCCATTGAAATCAAATTTAAAAAACAAAAAACAATCATGAAAGCTTTACAAATAAAGCATTGACTAATATTATAAAAATAATTATATAATCTTATTGGAATATTTAGTTTGTTTTAATAAGCACGCTTAGCACATTACAAAAAAAGGCCAAGTACATGGGCCTGCTAGGCTTGACCCATGTGCTAGCTCTTTTCTATATTTAAATGGTAAATGACTTTAAAAAAAAAAAAAAAAACAATGCTGGTGTTTTTTTTATCATCACAAGTAACTAAAAAATTGTGATTCTCCTCTTTTGATTCAAAGAACTAATTTTCAAGATTTTTTTCATTAGAAAACATGAAATAAACATCTCTCATAAATTAATTATATTTTATTTTATTAAATTAAGCATTAATATAACATCAAGATTTTTCTTAATGTTATAAAAACCTCACAACAAGCTATTTATGCACAATCCTCAAATCAATACAATATAAAAAAATAAAATTAAAAAAATAAATAATTAAAATAAAAAATACCTCGAGAAAAAAAAATATTATAATCTACAAAGTTCCTCCCACATGCTATGGTTTTTTCCTATTTCCCTTAACCCAGCTAGTTTTTCTTGTAATTTGGCATGATGCTACTCTTTTTTCATGTTTCTGAGCAGTAAAAGAATTTATTTGAATACTTAGAAATTGAGAAGAAGTCAATTTATTCGTGGGCAATAAGTTTCTATCGTTATAATTTTTAGATAGTGATGCCATCTTAAATGTAACAATTGGTGCATCGATATTGCTGTAATACCAAGCCATGTGACTTACTTTTCAAATCAAATATGCACCATACAATAAAAAAAATAAAAATTAAATAATATTTTGTAGTTGATACCATCATTGTTTAGTGGAGAAAGTATAATTGATATGCTTGATTCAAAGTTTTGTAGTTCACATTTGTATGAGATTAATTATTGTGGTCAATTGGTAAATAATTGTTCCAAAGTTGCATTATGTAAGTCGTAACAAATGAATAGGCACACGTTTATTTGAAGTTTGAAGGGAAAATCTTGCTTTCCTAGCTTTTTGACGCTGCTCTTTCAAGAAGTAGTGGTCGGCAGGCCAAGAATTAGAAATTATTACCTTTTAATTTAAAATTATTTTTGATTTTTTAGTTTTTTATATATCATTTTAATATATTAATTTTAAAAATAAAAAATATTTTTTTAATATATTTTCAAATAAAAATATTATATAAAAATCAACTATTACCACAATACTATATATTTTTTTAATTAATACAAAACAACTTGTTTCAAGAAATTCATTTGATCTTGAGTATGGATTTGGATATCAAGATATTTTTATTTTTTAAAAATATGTATTTAAAAAAATTGTTTAGCATTTAATTGTATGTGTAATTTTTTTATAAAAAAATTGTTTATTTTTTTAATCTTACCTAAACACCCTTTGTTTGAGCATCAACTTTCAAAGTCTTGATTTAATTATTTTGATGTCATCGAATTTGTAATTTAGAAAAAGTAGGCATGACCGTACATCCATCAATTCATCAAAGGAAGACAATTATAAAGCCATCACTCCCCCACTTTTTTTTTTTTATAACAGTTTAGATCTTTGTCAATAAGAAATCTTACCTTCATATCCAATAGTCCAGTCAATAATCTAACCAATAAATTGATGAATTGACTATACATATTGTTGACCAGCTCCATACCTAATCTAGAATTATAGAGCTTGAGACTCAATAGCGCTCATAATTGCACGAGAGGAGATGTTTCATGTTAATCGTTTGTTTGGTGCCATTGTATTTTTTATGGTTACAATTTTTACAAAATAAGTTAAAAAAAAAACTTTACTTGTGGTTTTTTTAAAAATAAATTTTTAAAAATATGTATTTTATTAAAATTATTATGAAATGGATTTTTACATGAAAAATAAATAAAAAATATATCTCCATAAATGAAAAACAGGTATTTTAAGAACATGTAAAACCTAATGCAAAAAAAAAAAATAGCTTAATCAAATAGTTTTTTAATAACTGAAAAAAAAAATCATAATACCAAAACATTTGCTTAATCAAATAGTTTTTTAGTAACTGAAAAAAAAAATCATAATACCAAAGTTTCTCTAAATAGTCCATTTATGAGTCCATCTGATGTGTGTGTATTAAAGCCCATAGTGTCTATTTAGCAGGCTAGGTATTAAAGCCCAATTCAGTGCATTTAATTTCCCATCTTTTTTCTTAACAACAATATATGAATGGGATTTCCGGATTATATTCTTACTCTCTTCATATGTTTCCGCTGTAATGGTCTCTGCGGCCCAATCAATGTTTCAGCCCAGTCCACTGAATCAACCCGTGAGTTAATGACCTAACCTCTGGTATTACATAATCAACCCAGCAGGACAACTTCGTAATTTAATTAACTCCATTAAAACTAAGTTTAATCTAAAAAAATAGGACAACGTTTGTTTTAAGTTTTTTTTTAAATAATATTATTTTGAATTAACAAGATCACCTGAATAAACACGTCTAATTTGTAATTAGACTCCGCGGGCTTGAGCTTGGGAGAGCCGGGTATAACAACTCGGGGCTGACAAGTTGATGAATTATGAAACCTTAATAATTTCATTCGCACAGCCAGTCCTTCGTCTAGTGATAAAATGCAAACAATCCGGAGAAAATTAGCAGTGCATATTTCACAACACGAGGTAAATTTTCTTGCAACCTGGATTCGTGACTATGAATATAACGTAAGAACACAGAGTGCTAAACAAATGTAATCTCTCAACAAACCAAGACAAAAAAAAAAAAAAAGGAGCAAAGAATGACTGCGTTCCATAATCAACCAGGCATCCACTAAATGCTATGTTCTTATTTGTACACGGTAAACAAAAATAGCCAAGCTAGATCACCCTTCATAATCACACAGGATAAAATCAACTTAATGCTATATATGATGCTATTCTACACAGATACCTTCACCAGAAATATTTTGGTTGCCTTCATGGTCCTCAAAGCCAGGTATCCGCCCCAATTCCCTGAATAAACGTGAAATTATCTAAATATTTCCAGTGACCAATGGTGCTTCCACTCCTTTTATTCCATGCAACCATAGTAATATTCATGTTGTGATATTTAACTTAGAAAAAACTAGGCTCTAGAGGTGATGAACAGGTGGCCAAAATGTCCCATGGGAAGTTGACATCATGATATGGAAGTGAAAATTTTGCATCTCTTTGAAGAACCATGTTTTGATTGTAAGGATCTGGATTGAGAGGTTCCAGTTGATACCGTGAAGGCAAAACATGGTGTTCGGTCCTTAATCTCTTAAGAGCTTGAAAGTCTTCTTCAGACTGTATTTCGACTTTCTCACCCTCCGAATCAGTTTCAAATTCCTTAGCATTTGATTCTGAATCGCAGAGAGATGGCAGTGATACCGGAGAGAATGACTTGGTGTGTTTTGGATTTCCATTTTGATTTTCCTCCACAATTCTCTCAAGGAATCTCCCTTGGGCTTCAATTTTAAGCTTCAAGCTCTTTTGAACCTTAAAAATTAACCAACCACATAGGAAATCAACAAACATATGCATGGTGTTTATTTATAAATAAAGCAAAACAAGGTTTCGTGTTTTGTTCATTAGTAGATAAATCTGCATGAAAAATTATGTTGCTACCACAAGTTGATCACTCAGTCGCCTATGGACCTCCATTTGCATCAGTAACGCTTCATTTAGTTGAGCACCTCTGCAAAAATTATGCAACCAAAACTTAGATCCAATTAGTTCATGAACAAGTTGAAGGAGGTGCAACTGATTAATAATTAGCTTACGATGTTGCACTGAAATTCGGTAACATTTCTGAAATATTTCTCCTTTCAAACTTGCCTCCTGTTGGAAGATACCAAGAAATTAACACACACAACAGAAGTATACAAGTACTACAAATTTATAGGCAATAAAAATAGAATGAAAGCACTCCACACATACTGTTGGTTTCTGGGATAAACTTCGAGATTCTGTATTTCTGAAAACAATAAAGATGGATCAGAAAATATTAGTATAAACTGTTTAACAGGGGCGCTATGATATGTTAATCACACGTTGCACTACCACTTGGACACAGATTGCAGTTTGTGAAAAATGAAGGAATATATTATTAGAGGAAAAAGAAACTCAATAATATATTTATGTTTTCCAGAAAGCTAAATAAACGGAATACTAGATCAAAGTGTTAATGATCATGACTGTATTTTAATCAGTATTGAATCTTTAAACTGTCACAAGAAAACAGTGCAGGTATGCATCTTGTAGCCAAAATCTGAGACGATTGTAAGAATCCAGCATGATGACATGAAAGTTAATTCAAAGGGTTGTATAGTTCCATGCAGGAGGGCAAGCTACAGGGGAAAATAAATAATTACCTGCAAATGGCTCTTGACATGGTAGATAGTCAATCCAGGGATGCCCATAGCCCTCAAGATACCTTTCGGTGTTGCTCCTGCAAATCGTTTCAAGTATGAACATGAGTGATCGTAAGGATAACTAGACAACATACAAACCTCAATGAACAAGAGTATCATCACTGGAGTTGCAGTGTATTGATGAAAAGAAATTAATTAATTCGATCAAGCTTTAATTAGCAGGGTTGGCTTCTATTTAGTTTTGATCAATGGAAATCTTTCAAAAGAAAAGGTTCGTGGTGTTGAACAGTGGTAGATCAAATATCATTAGTGCATGTAAACGGATTGATCCAAGAACATACTATCAGGACCACCAAGTTGATTAACAGCCTCTTCGAACCGATCATGTAGTTCTTGTGTCCAACGCAATCTCTCTTTGTTAGATCCGTCGGAGCGACTTCGACCCATTGTTGGAATCAGATGATTATAGAGTGTCAATGGCAGCTTATGAGTAACAACAATGCATGGACTACGTCTTCTCCCTTGCAAGGAGGGTTATTAAAACAAGAGAGCAAGAAAAAGACTGTGATGTAGACAGGAAGAAAATAATTGGGTCGATGAGAACTAAGATATAATTTGATTAAAGAAGATGCTTAATGATGTCTAGTTGTCGGGGATAAACCAAGCTTGAATGAATAGGAGTTTGGATAACTTCAAACTCAAAAGATTGTTTTAACTTCTCCGTCAACTGTGGTAAGGAAATTCACGGGTATTGGTTTTCTTAAAGTCCAAAACTGTACAGATCATGATAAGCAACTGTTCTGTCTGTCCCTGTTGTTTTTTCTGCGCTGTCCGACCTCAGTTAACCCTCAGTTATCAGCTGCGAAATGGGGCTTTGGGCAGTGAAGCGAAGTCAAATAGACTTTGTAATCCAGTCTTGGGCTGGCTACTGTTTTCAGGTTCAGATTGGACCCAGTTCAGTGCCATATAGGACTTCTAGGATCCTAGCAAGCCTATTACTGAGCAGGGCCATGGACGAAGCCCTTTCAAGATGCTCCAACTCGTCATGGGACCAATAGCAGAGCATGTCAAGCGACAACACTTCCATAAGCTGGTCTCAGGCTCTCAGCCATACATCATGCACAGGGAGGCCCGAAAGACAGATGAGGGCAGCAATGGAAATATGGTTGCCACCCATTGGGATAGCATAATAAGTTTATATCACCATGCAGACAAGTAGACTCCTGCAAAGCAAGTCATCTCTGGTGTAATGTTATTCGTGCATTTAACACAAAATAAGAGATCCGATTACATAACCTGCTATTTAAGCAAATGGTTCAGTTGGGAAGAAGGCCAACTAAACCGTTGGGGGCATCTGTTATAAACAAGCATTTTAACTTTCACATTGCATAAGAGGTAATGTTAATACACTACTTTGTCAGCCACTGCAACGACACCAACTATGACCGGCTCCTCTTCATACAAGATGGACACTTGTATTGCTTAATACTGTCAGCCTTAGCGGGTGTTATCTTCACACACTTTCCATGGTACCACCTCTCGCAGACATCGCAGCCAATCCAGAATTCATCAGCATTGTAATTTCCACCACAGCTCCCACATAGCGTTTCAGTGTGGTCATCTTCTTCATCCTCGTAACTATCCTCCATAAGCTTAGGGTTGCTTTTCATTTGTCCATCACTTGATCTCTATAGAGAGGAGGAACCAGTAAAGTTAAGGGCAAGTTAAAAAGCATCAAACAGTTCGAAATTAGGCTTGCTTTTTGTTACTGAATCAATGCATCTATGCATCACTTAAGCACCATAACAACAGAATACCAAAATTCATGGCATCCTCAGTCACTACGGTGAAGCACAATAGAGTTGTACAGCAGATTTATATTTTGGTTGCAACGAAAGAAAATTAAGAATGAAAAGCTATCAATTACGTTTGAGATTATCAGAAAATTGAGATGATCCAAATCATGTTTCGATTAATCACCTTTATGCTGCCTCGAGATTTGCTTCCACTATCTACACTAGGCTTTTCTTTCACAGGCTTCCTTTCTGTTACAACTTCAAAGACAGTAGGCAGATCATTGATCAAGCTGAATAGTCGTTTCCTGTCCATAAAAATGAACTTCAGTTTCTATGGAGAAAAGCCAAACTCAACATAACATCACACTGAAATAATACAAATAATAAATAAATAAACCTCAAAACATCCCACTAAGCAAATGGCAAATAATCAAGTCTCAGGTCTGCAAGACAAACATTAAATGCCAAAATTGATAGTTGAGCTATTAAAGTTTTAATATTATCTGTGGTGGCCTACGCAGTCCTGACCAATTCAAGCGAATCACAATTTGCCAAGCAGAATATATTACAAATGCATGCTGCCATGCATTCAATTGAAAACACATCTGTGACATAACTTTCTGTCGAGAATTTTTTAAGATTTCTGGAATCCTTAGTAACGATATTTAATAAGGTACTTAAAAATAAATAAATCAATATAAGAAATTAATAAACTGTCCTTTGTGAAGCAAATAACTGCTAAGAAAGAAGGATATCATCAAGCAGATGCAATATATCTAATATTTTTTTCAATCAAGCTACCATGATTCTAAATTCACCAACTGGAAGGCAATTACAAAGATGATTAGGACATTGATTGGTGGCACATGGTGGTACCATGACTTTAGACATCCAACAAATCTGATGGACCTTTTCTCAACGTTAACTTTCCAAATTTCATCAACATTTTAATCCCATCAGAATTGGAGAAATGATTAACAAAAGAACATTATGATGTAATAAGAACACTAAATGGTCCTCACAATTATGCAGTACATTACCTCTCATTCCGATTAAGACGAGCACCGAGATAGAAAGCCACCGAAAGCAACCATGAATCACTGTGCACAGCGACAAGAGAAAGCCAGTCTTTTCTGTTCATCCCATCTCTAGCAAAATTAATTCCAAGGGCAGGTTCAGGGAGCTCTGGTGGAACTTCTTCTGCTGGCAGGGCTACTTCCCATGTCTCACTTGGATGTCCGTAGAGACACAAATTCTCCTTGTCTAACCCAAAAACATAAGAGTAAATTTATATCACTAAGTGCAAACAAAGCAAAAACATAAGGCAGATGCCTTGAGAAACCAGAGGATCAACTGCAATGCAGATCTTACATTGCTTGTTTCTTCATTAATAAAAACTTATCGATTTACAAGTTCTAGCCATTTCAAATTCTCTTCTTCCTGTATTCAATTTCAATGTTCTGCTTACGGAGTGAACAGAACATTGAAATCAAAAAAGCGACGCACTCAATTTCCACTGTGAAAGATCTAAACTTTGATATACTACTACAATTTTTTTAAAAAAACTCACCACTTATCCTAAAAGATACAACAGCAGAGATCACATGCATCACTTCAAATCACTCCACTTTCCTTTGTTTCCCCTCATGGTTTCTCAAGAAAAAAACAAATTCTCTCAATTTCACCCTAAAATAGAACCCAGAAAAAAGAAAAAAAATCCACAATAATTCAAATAAACAGCTCCTCCATTACACGTTACCTGGATCACAGAGTCCATAAAAAGCATCCACATCTGACAACAACAAAAGAAAACACAAAGAAACCCATGATCATAAGCATAAAAGATTCAAAATTTTTAACGAAAAAAAAGAGAAAGAACTAAGAATTAAATTTTAATTACCATAAGTTAAAGCACGCACAACAGCAGCTCTTCTAGCACTGAAATCTTTGAAGATCTCCTCTACAGTTCGTGCGTTTGAAGCCATTTCCATGGACAGTTAATTACAAAGATCTAAAATAACGGAAATTTTATTTATTTATTAAACTTTTTAAGAATTGTAGAGATTGCTGTCCAGTGAGATCATGAAAGAAGGACGTGGGACGGGAGGGAGGAAGGACGCCTCAATGACAACACATGTAGCAAAACAGAGTCCCCCAGCCCCCCTAAAAAATAAAATAAAAAAAGCTAGTGTTAGCGCGACGCTATTAAGGTTATTTTGCTACTGGCAAGCCCGGTTTTACTTCTATGGTTTCCCACGCGCAGTTAGCTTGCTGGGCAATATGATTATAATTGTTTTTTAATTAATTTTGAATTAAAATATATATATTAATAATATTTTTTTTATTTTAAAAAAATTATTTTTAACATTAATATATTAAAATAATTTAAAAATAATAAAAATATATTAATTTTAAATAAATAAATAATTTTAAATTTTAAATTTTTTTAAAAATATTTTTAAAACACAAAAATAAAAAGTTAAATTGCTTGTGGAGTGTCCCTCTTATTGGAATGGAAAAATGGTTTTTGTGTTTAGTTTAGTATTTTTTTTAATTATTATTATTACATGATTAAATTACAATAACCAAATTAGATATAATATGTTATTGGTCATTGACTTTTTAATGAGTGATGTAATCATATAGATCATTTGTTACATGAATAAATCCTCTTGTTATGGCAGAGTTTTTTTTTTTTCAAAAAAAACATATCTTTATATGTGTTTTCAAATTCAAGATATATTGAGATATAATATGATTTAAGAATAATATGAATTTATAATAAGATAAAGATAAAATGAAGATAATTTTAAAATTGAGGATTGACAGTTATATATGAAAATATTGAGGATAAACTATTACAAAATTAAAAGTACAATAATGCAAAGTTTTTTTTTTTATTAAAGCATGATGAGAGTATTTTTAAAAAAGTATAGTAAGATAATGAATTATATAAATGTAGTGTAAGGTACTTAAGTAAATATAGTGTAAGACATCAAGGATTAGTTTTTATGTTTTTTTTGTTAACTATTAGTTATGAGTAAAATATAAATTAGTCCCTTTAGTTTTTCAAAATGAATTAAATTGTCCCTCTAAATATCTTTTTTCCTCGTCAATCTTTCCATATTATCTATTTTTCATATTTCTTAAGAAATAAAAGCAAAATAAATTGGAAAAGAACATGGAATAAGTAAAAAGAATCAAGTTACAAATAGAAGAAAAGAAAAATTATAGATCTAACAATGGTAATAGATGGTGGTTTGTCTTCTCTTTTAGATCTCCATTCATCTATCAAATTAAGATGTTATTCATCTCTCATCTTCTATCCCCTCCCTTTTAAATAAACAGACACTAAATTTAATTCAAAAGTTCAAACATGAAAAATAAGAGTGGTGGTGTTTTGTGTTCTTTACCAATCATAATTATAATTATTTGTGTGTTTATTAGCCTTCGTAATTATTGAGAGCTTTGAGAAGATTCACTATGATGTATATTGTTATCTATTTCAAGGCCTTGCATAAAATAAATAAATAAATATATATAGAAGAATTTGGATTGACATCTCAAAGTTTTTTAAAAAAAAAACAAAAAATCATCTTAATGAGAGTAGTTTTGGATCAAGTTGCATGATGATGAAGCTTGAGGACTAGTTTGGTCAAATTTAGCAAATTAATAATTTAATTTTGATTGACAAAGCCCCTACTAATAAAAACAAAATTAGTAAAAAAATTTAAAATTGAATGATTAAAGACTCAAAAGAATTTTTTTAGGTTTAATTAAATTTATTGAGGGTTTAATTGCAAAAAAAAAAAATTAAGTTGGTTTTAGACTTAAATTTGAAGAAATTAAAGTTTGGGTTTAATTGCATAAATATTAAGATTAAAGAAATTCAAAACTAAAAACTAATTCATAAAAGGCACGCGACTTCAAAGACTAAAATAAAAAAATCATGGGATAAATTGAAGAAAATCAAAAGATAAATGGTCAATTTGTATAAATTATAAACCAATGACTGAAATAAAAAAATACACTAAGCTTTAGAGTTGGTAATTGAATTTAAAAGGACAAATTTGCACATGATTGAAAGTTAGAGGGTAATCAAGAATATAATCAAGAAGATTTAAAAGTTTAGAGACCAAAATGAACTTTGATCAAATCCCAAATTAATTTCCTAATCCTTTAGAATTTAACTTAGATGACATGTCATTTAGGGTAAAATCAAAATGCACCATCTCAAAAAATGGGAAAATGACTTGTTGTTTACCTAGTATTTATCTTTCTTTTCTTTTAGCAGTTTTGGTTGATCGAGTAGACATTTTTATATAAATAAATGCGAAGCTATAAACCTTC